GTGGAAATATTTACAGCTCACAGCTTCACAAAGTCATTTAACGCAGCAATGCTTTCATACTTACATTCAATGCAAAAGCCAAAATTAAAGCCAACGAACTGCTATGCAGTCGATATTAACGTCAGATGTAAATTAGTTTATATAATTATTGTAACGGAAACACTTTAATGTACAAAGACACAAAAAAAACTAAAAGCAACTATGACAGGCAATGTGTCAAGACACTGACAGACACATAAAACAAATGAGTAAACAACACAAAATGGCAGCAATGTCTGCAACGGACCTGACTTTAAGGAAATAAAGAGGGGGAGGAGTTGCTACAAAGTTGCTTCTTGTTTATATCCATCCGTTTCCTTTACAGCTGCTCTGAAGAGATGCAATGGCACCAGTGGAAAATTCCACAGCTATCAGTATGTAGTGCTAATCTAATCATTACTCTAATCAGTTTGAGTCTGGATTTAAACATCTGAAGCAAGCTTAAAATAGCTCCTCAACCAAGAAATCAACATAAAAGTGGAAGTCACACCCACCAACCAGCAGTCTTTGATAAACTAACCTGGGATAAAGTACAAAATTAACACAGAATTAAAGAAGAATGAATGAGTTGAATTGAAACTCAAGTGAAAAGAAGCTGGCACTCAACAGTGCTGGATGAGGATGGTTGGAATGCTTATCACGCTCTATTGTGTCTACACACATAGCACAGACATAGACACACAGCAGATATTCTGCTTGCTTGTTAGTCAGCTGACACACTACTCAGACTTACCAGCAGCTTGGACAGCTATAAAAACAAAATAAGAGTGAGAGAAAGATTCAGTCTTACTGCAGACAGGGCACTGGAAGGGATCAGGTAAAGAGTATCAACAAGGCAAAACAGACAAACAATGTTTATATTTGGATTAGCCCCTTGCCTTAGAACGTAAGTAAATTATCTCATATTTCTGCACTAAATCCATATGTGAGATGTACATTCCCATTTAAAACTCGTTCTGTATGTGCAGCAGAGCTTCAGCTCCGAGTCGGGTTTCCCAAGTGCGTACCTGGATGTTGGTGGGATCCTTGTAAGACTCATCAGTTGCAGTCTGTAGTTTCTCACTGATCCAAGCCTCAATTTCATCCACATCACGACTAAACTGCTGCAGGGTCTGGGATTC